GCGATAGTCGTCCGTACTTCCATCGCGTGGTGGTCCATACGCAGGTACGTCAATCTCTCACCTTGTCACCATTATGAAACTCCCAGAATGACAAAAGTACAAGAACAGTATACATGCTGATATGTAAGGCTACTATTACTATGGCAATACAAGACTTCAATCGTGTGCCAGAGCTCTCAGACTCAGTATATGGCATCTTGGAACACTTGCTACAGGCGGTATTTTGGTACTTACTATAGAAACGTTGCATTGGGTAGTCCGAACATTGTGCGGTGAGTTTTCACCATTATATCGCTTTTCTTCGCTGATATCATAGTTGGTTGGCTGGCTTGTCTCGTATGTCCCTCCCTTGATACACCATCTCCTTCCTCTGCTTGTCTACCTTCACTCTACTCCATTGGTGCCACCACTTACACCTCTCGCGATCTTGGAAGACACCACAATAGGCGAACTGATTCACTCAGTTCGCATGGCTTTTGTCTATCTTGGATAGATGGTTAGAGACTTTCAATAAATGTGCGTCCGCTACGTACAATTCTTTGGTTCTTTTGCGCTAACATTTAGACGTCCTGTGAGTATCTTGACCTTTCGCGTACTTTCAATAGACTCACACGTATTTTCCTATAGCATCTTCTTTGGTGAGTTATCTCTACTTCACAGCAAGGCGACAGCTGAGAATATTAGCCGTTGGAAATCCATATGATGAAGAAGGAAATCTTCGGACGGAAAAGCAGTACCTCGGTTTCGAATCGACATTTGTGAGCCGTCATGAACTTTGAGTTTTCCTCCCTCTCACACTTTCTCCTTCCCTTCCTCCTCTTCCTCTGAATCGGGTTTCCTGTTTAATCCATGCTCGTCAGCATTTCTCGGCCTTATTAAGTCTGGTGTAGTTCTGAGAGAATCCCTTACTATCTGCTAAGAGGATAGCACTGACTTGACTCAGATGCAAGCTTCGCGTCATACCAACAAGTTCTTCACTTCAGGTATTCTGCATCGTAATCATCGTCTGCATAATCCGGCATTAGTACAAAAGCTAGGAGCAGCAATAAAGAATCATAAAGGTGAGCTTGTCGTCCTCCTGCTATTCCAAGCTTTAGTCCTATTTCTTGCCCTTGCCCTGGTGGATTTACATACTTTACCTGGTTTAGGACATTTCTAGAGGAGATAGTGGTCTCACTCTGCTACACACCGCTTGACTACTCTACTCTATCCCCTATCTTTGATCACTCTTCACGTCTTTGCTGATCTACTGCCGTGCTTCCACTTCAATTGTGATTATCGTACTCGCCAAAATAGTGTCTGTGATGTATACACCGTATTGGTGAGCTGATAACCAGGACTGGCAGATATGGTCAATGATGCTTTAGTCTCTGGAGGTAAGTACTTGCTCCCTTTCCTCTTCCCTCTTCCCTCTCCGTCTCCTAGAGTGCCCCGTCTTCTCAGTGCCTTCCTTCAAACCCAACTTCTTTATTGCGTCCATAATGAGTTTCGTCCATTGTCGTTCCCTAAAGTGGAGTGAGTATCATCCCACTAATGACACTAGCACTCAACATGGGCACATTGGTATTTGCTGTCGTAGGAGCCGCTCTGGCATTTATCACTGCGCATGGTGAGTGTTTTGTTTTTCTTCTCCTCTCACGTGCACTTCACTTCTCTAATCGATCTATCATCCCACGACACTTACCCCACTCAGGTCTCCCACATTCATTCATTTTCTCCTTCTTATCCATGCTATCTTTCGATCTGAAAACCATTACTTATGCTTTGTCGTGACCCGGTGGAGGAAAGTTTGACGAGAGATAAGTGGCGAAGAAGCATGGTCCAGAAGAGGTTGACTGATGATAGAATTATCCGATACTACCGTAGCTGATAAAGTTGGACAAGTGTGAGTTCCCCTTTTCTCCTCTTTCTCTCTCCCCTTCCCTCCTCTCTCACAGGTTTCAAATCGTCTCTAATTATGTTGGGATCCGTAAACTGATAATCAGCGTCATAACCATTTACGCATTTTTCTTGACTGCTATCACTTCCTGGACATTATGTTCCGCCCTTGTAAGTTTTTGCACTCTTTCTTCTCATCTTTCTATACTTTCCCATTTTGGTGTGTTTCAACCAAAACTATCGAACTTGTCCGATTGTCCAATCATCCAATCAGTCGATCCTCCTATCCCTAGTATTCTAGCCCATCACCAGAAATATCCTCGTGTGTCGTGTTGTGTTCATGCACGCATGACAGACAAATAGTAGATTGAAGTTGCCGTGTAAGCGCGGGGGAAGTTGTATGATGAGAATTGTTCTAATCCCATAGGCTGCTGGTATCGACGCTTTATTCGTTTGTGTTGCCGAAGACCCAGAGTGAGTATTATTTCTCTTTCCGAGGATCTTACTCTCCCCCCTCCCCCCTCCCACGCTCAAGGAAATACAATAATCAATGATGAAAAACCTCCAATATTCATTCCTATCATCCACATCTCAACCGTCATTCAAGTAATACTCGAATAGCTAAACGTCATTCCTCGTGAAAGTACGCTGTCCACGATGATTATATGACCATGTATCATTGATACACGTTCAAGTTCTTTTCGAATAAGGAGGAAACTAACAAAATTAGACGTTTGGCGGAAATAGATCCTGAGCGATACGAAGTACGTTTTCATCTCTCTTTCTTTCTTTCTTTCTTTCTTTCTTTCTTTCTTACTTCCTTGGACCCTCCCTCCTTATTTATATGATAAACACCAAAGAAAAACAATCTAACAAGGATATAGATAATCGAAAGAGATTATCCAGGTGTTTTCAGAAGAGAATTAGTTCATCCTGATGAGAATATGATACAAGAAACTCTTAGAAAGTTTTCTCAACGTAAACCATTTTGAAATATTATAGATTCTGATTTGTGATTATTTTTTTATGTATTTACATTGTTTTTACATGAGAAATCACATGTTGCATGGTGTATGTTGCTTGTTGCTTGTTGCATGGCAAATATTGCATGATGTATGTTGCATGGTGTATGTTGTATAAGGTACATGATACATGATGAGACTGTTTTCAGATACGTGATGATATTTCCTTATATAAAACCCTTGATACCCAACTTTCACCCCTGACATGATCATGTACAATCTCTTCCCTATTTTGGTGAATCTTCCCTTTTTCACTATTGTACTTGTACCTGCTCATTGAGATTTCGACCGTCTCTCCACTTCTTTTCCCTTCTTCTCATCACCCGGTATGAATGTCATCTCCGTTCTCTCTGGACTCTCATCTAGGTCTCTAGGTCTTCTCCTCGTTGCCATGATTCTGCCCCTCCTCTCTACTCACTCACACATTCCCTCTCCGTTTCTCGTCTCAATCCCCCAACTTGACTTCCAAGTCTATTCTACCCATTCTCTCATCCCAAACCCCTCATCGTGATTGATAAATAAACCAGTTGGATAAAATTTGTGTAAGACCAACTTCGACATCAGCATATAAACACTTCATACGAGTGCAACTCACTATTCCAAACTTGTCACCAACCAAACGCCCTTCCAGTTCCTTGTTCCATTGACAACCTCACTGGTGGAAGTTGATATTTTCCTAACCTTTCCTGTCTCTTCTGAAACTGCGAATCTTCCGGAACGTATGTCGAAGTAGAAGCTTGTGTACGCCATTGATCTTTCCAATCCGGTGAAGCGTAAGCAGGTTTGGTTGGGTAATGATGATCATTATGTTTACTCGTATTATTCGTCCCTCTATCCAGCGACGTTTTCCCCTGGTAATTTCCAACTCTGGTCATCGAGTAAATCTTTGGTTCTTCCTTGCTGACGTATCTTTTCGGATTCCCGTCCATATCAAGATCGTTTTGATGGCTTCTCATTTTTATGTCAGTACCGTAATTATCATCGTCCATCTCCATACGTCTCATACTGTTGCCTTGCACCAAAGGAGATAGTTGAAGGTCGTTATCAACACCTCCACGATGATGATTCGGCTGAGTACTTCTTTCATATCCTCTGTTCATTTGTCTCGCGTGTACCGGCGAATGAGCAGTTTCATCCTCTTCCCCGTTCAACGCCGAAGGTGTGAAGAATGTGATCTTTGCTTTATAAGCTGACAAAGGCTTCACTGTAGGGACATTCACGTTTGGTTTGTTTGTGACAGATGTGGATAATGGGGGGATGAATTTATTGGACCTGACAGGGTTTCTGAAGGTATCGTTCTGTTGAGAGTTGGGATACCGATGGGTGGAGGTATCGTTATGACTTTTCATCACTTTCTTAGGACGTAATGTATCAAATAATTCTTCGGTTCTAAATGCTGGGTGATTATATGGGTCATCATCTTCTTGTTTGCCAAAATTCACATTGGCCCGTTTACGGACGGAGGGGAATTGTAGTTGATTTTGAACATGTCGATCTTCATAGTCCGCGGTAGGTTCTGAAGATCAGCCGAAGGACGTGTTTACAGAATACGAGTTGGTGCAGTAAAGACCAAAGGGACAATAGATGCTCACTGTCTTGAGCCTGATTCCTACTGAAATCCGGACCATCGTCATAATTCGATAAACGGTGCATGTGACCTACCTTAACTGGAAGAGGACATATTATCTCTTGAGACCTATTCTTGTATGCGAGAGGGGAACTATAAGGAACTTCGCTTGAAGATGACGTGTTCAGTTTGAGATCGTGAGATAGGTGTGTGATGGTTGAAGGTTGTTCTACGTGAGTATTGTGAAGAGAGTAGAATGTGTCAGGTGGAGTTTGGATATTTTGACTTGGGTCAGTAAGACCTGAGTGTCTCAAAGAAGGAAGTTGAGAGGTCATCTGGAGATCGGAGTTCAATCTTTTTGGTTTTTGAAGTGCGTCAAAGTATTTTGACGCTGTGAGTTTCTTGTTAACTTCTTCAGGGACGTCAGAATCGTTATCGTCTGGTGAAGGTTTAGCACGCGATGGTTTGAAGGTGTGTTTGGTTTTCTTGAGTTGAGTAGATTTAGTAGGTCCTTGAATGAGTTCATCGAGGTTGAGAGGGGGTAGACTGGAAGTGGAATCAGTTGATATGTGTCTTGTTATGGAGGGTTTAGTGACCTTGGTCTTGAGTGGTAACTTCTGTTGTCTCTCAAGACCTTGAAGCACGGGAAAGTCGTCATTAGGCTTTGCATCTTTTGCTGAGAGTCAGCATGGGGGATCCAGTTTGATTTTGCTGACCTCTGCATCGGTGAGCGGAAGGAAAGGTGTAGAGAAACTGACGTAGCATCCCAAATTTTACAACCTCGTCTTTCTTCTTCTTCTTGACATTATCCATTTGCGTTTCCTTACTAGTCTTCTTCTTACCCCTGGGTTTCTTCTCGATGACTTCGTCTACACGTTCGAGGACAGTCTTTTGTTTCTTTGTAGGCGCCCCTTTTTCGCTAGCCACGGGATTACCATGGGCGTCAGTCCAAACTGAATTCTTTCTCTTCCACCACGAAGAAGGATCGTTAGACCTTGCGGCTCGCCACGGTTCATCCTCTATATTCTTCCCTCTAGCTTTCTTCTTTTCTTCCTCGCGAGCTCGGACCCCTGCGAGGCATCCATCTGGATGAGAGGAAGGAGGGAGGCTCTTCTTTCCTCGTGAAGAGGCTAGTGTGAAGGGTGTTTCTTTGAAGATTGCTCGATCTTCACGCGAGTTGAGATTGAGATCAGCTGCAAGTTGAGCGTCCCGAGAGAGAGTGTGTGAGTAAAGAGGAACGTCTCCGATGTTGTCATCGTCCGAGGTGGGAGAGGGGGAACGGAAAGAAGATGACCATGGATCAGGACTGGCTTGAGTAGACATGTTAGTGTCAGCAATGAGTTCTGTATCAGAATATCAGAGAGACACGTGAGGGTTAGAAGAGGTTATAGGGGATGATAGGAGGATGAGAGTGTGATAGATACAAGGTGGGGAAGGAGAGTGTGTGTGCGTGGTGGGGGAGATGGTTGCGGAAGGGAGGTCCGAGCGCGAAACTCATTTAATCCACGTCACTTACACTTTCCCCACTATCAGTATCACTCCCCCTCCCCACACTCTCCCTTATTGAACTTGCCTCTATACATCCATCTCACATCCTTGTTACTGACTATACTCTCCATCATGGACCAACAAGAGCCAGGTGCAAGCTCATCCGACCATGCTACATCCTCCAGAGCGGACCCGAATCTGCTGCGTCACTTTGTCATGGGCTACCTCCAGCAACATGGGTTCGACAAGGTTCTCGCGACTTTCAAAGCCAATCTTCCCGATGAACGCGATGTCGATGGAAGCGAAGATGCGAGACAAGATAGAGAAGCTGTTGTCAGAGCTCCGGGACCTGTTCCTATAGAATCTGCACTCAAGAGGAATATACCACAGGCACAGGCTGTCTCCGCCTCCGCTTTATCCGATCTCATAACTCCCGAGTTTGAGGCTCAGGCGAGGTATATCGTCGAGCAGATGCAGAAGAAGTTTGGAGCCGCCGCTCAAGGAGAAGGGGATGATGATGTGGCTGTCAATCAGGAGAGTCTGTTGGATCCTTCAGATAGGAGTGAGGGTTATAAGAGGTTCAGACGATGGGTTGACAGGGGTTTGGAGATGTGGAGGGTTAGTCGTTCTCTCATATACAGCCATGAGGGAATGACAATGCTGACCACAAGGTGGAACTGGATGCTTTGTCCTATCCCATCTTCATTCACACCTACTTGGACCTCATGAGTTTCGGGTTTACCAGAGCAGGTGAATCCTGCAAAACGTCCTAGTAGATCAATGATACTGATGCAAAGCTCGAGAATTCTTCGATAAACATAGTAGCGCACATCAACCTCAACATCCTCAAGATATTGCAACTCTTTCATCAATAAAAAACCGCCAACATCTCTCTTCTAATCCTTTCTGTCAACGACTACTGTTCGTCCCTTACTTCAACGAAGGCTATGGCTGATAGGTAGAAACGAGAAATATACCATCACAATGTCACGCAATCCTCATGATTTAGTATTACAATGGCTCAGTGGGGCAGGTCTTGACGACGAATGGGAATCTGGACTCCAAACTCCCTCTGGCCGCGCCAAAGAGGCCGTAAAAGGTATCATTTTCAGTAGGATCACTCTAAAAGGTCAGTCCTTTTATCCTCTCTTCTTTCCCTGCAGCTGAACATTCAGTGTCTGAACAATCTACACCACTCGACAAAATCACCATCGCCTCTTCTTCTGGACTCCTTGCCTCTGTCATCCCTTCCACCTCGTCCGTAGAAACTTTCAACAATACTGGTAAATTAAAATTGGGTCCTGCGCCTATGAGGGAAAAACTCAAGGAACAAGTGATTCGAACTCTACAAGATGACGATCTTCGAACCAACGGCGTAAACGGTCATTCGTCCCCTCCAAATGGTAATGGATCGGATGGACAAGTGGAATGGAACGGTCACATGAACGGGGATGTAGAGATGCATTCTGGGGACGAAACACCAAGACCGATGGTAGTTCATGAGATCAAGATTGAACCGGATGTTGACCCCGAGTTGATCAGTCCAGAAGAGGGAGAGACTGTACCTCCTTTACCGGCTGTTTTCAGAATAGCGGATCTGAAACGAGAGGTGGAAGCGGTAAGGGATAGAAGGAAAATGATCAGGTTGGGAACGGATCCCAATGCTGCTGGACCAAGTACACCGATACTACCTAGTATTGTGGCATTTACTCTCTTTGACAATGGGGAAGGGTGAGTTCAGAAACGGGTATCGACTTTCATCGGCGTATGCTAAGGGGCAGAGCTTCGTCGATCGAATTCTCACCGGATTCCTCTCTCATGGCAGCGGGCTCACCGGAGAGCTGCATCAGACTGTGGAATCTCAAAGGTGAAAAGTTGAAGGCAAAGTCTGTCGGTAAGTACGATCATTTTATACACTTCCATCGTCTATTCACTCTCATCGACACTCGACCCAAATTCACCATGTCTACCTGAAAGCCATGGGCATCCGCCTTCGGTGAATGGGACGAAACCTAGAGACGTGCCGAGGATTACTAAGAGTAGACCCACTATCCGGTTCGTTAGTAGAAGATGAAGGTCTACCTATGCGAAAACTCATCGGTCATTCGGGACCCGTTTACTCCCTCTCTTTCGACCCACTGAATGGTTCCGCCTCTTCACCCTCCTCCCTCCTATCAGCATCACAAGACGGAACAGTCCGTCTTTGGTCTCTTGACACATATACCAACCTCGTCGCTTATAGAGGTCATGGTCGTGATCCCGTATGGGATGTGGAATGGGGACCGATGGGGGTGTATTTCGCCACAGCAAGTAGAGATAGGACAGCGAGATTATGGTGTTCTGATCGGGTATCTCCTGTCAGGATGTATACGGGACATTTATCAGATGTTAATGTGAGTGCTTGACGTATTTCACTTGCACCCCCCACACTCCTTGTCACCGAAATGAAGTTACATCTCGAGCTCAATTACGATCACAATGCCTGATAGGCTGTCTCTTGTAGATGGACCCATTCAAGCTCGTCCTGGTGTGATTAAGGAGAGGAAGAGAGACACATGGCTGATAACAGTGCGTCAAATTCCACCCGAATTCATTGTACTTGTCTACGGGATCTAACGATGCCTCCTGTAGACTGTGGGATGTACAAAGAGGGGCTTGTATCAGGTTGTTTTTAGGGCATGTGGATGCAGTGACGACTCTGGCAATCAGTCCAGATGGGAAAATGCTCGCTTCTGCCGGTATGTCATAAACTCTTTTAGTCCCCTCCCCTTCTTCCTCATGACCTCTGAATACTGTCCGCATGACCATCTCTCCTTATCTTGTCTCATGTGAAAGGCCCGTCAACTGTGCTGTACCTCTTTCCCCTCCAACGCAGTGTTGTCCTATCCTTTCTCCTCCTGCGGTCTATCACCACGCCTACTTGACGTCGAAGTCGAATCTCGTGAAATCTGAATGACGCAACAGGCCTCGACAGTAATATCTGGTTATGGGACCTCGGTTCATCCCGTCCTATCAAAACTATGACCGGTCATCGAGGACCCATCTCCTCCCTTACCTTCTCTTCAGAATCATCAATGCTCGTTTCTGGTAGTTTGGACTGTACCGTGAGATGTTGGGATGTTAAATCTGCCGGTGGAGAACGTGGATCGAATGCGAGAACGGATGATGGGACGAGGCGAGAAAGTGGGAATGGATTAGATGGGTTGGGTTTGGAAAGGGGAGAGTTACCTATGGGACAAGGGGAAATAGAATGGGATAACGTACCTCAAACGTGAGTTTGTTTGTTTCATTAGTCATCCACAGTCTTTTTGCCGTTTGTTACCTTGACTTTTTTTACCCAATCTTCCGAGTGGTCTTCCTCACCCAGGAGATCTAGTAAATGCAGTGGAAATCTGTCCATGTTACCACCCATCGCACATCGCGTACCTACTCTTTGCGTCCCAGATCTGCACTCTTTCAATGCTACCTGATATGGTAGTCGGACAAAGCAAGCCATGGTAGCCTCAGGGAAGACTGGATGGTACAACATGTCAAGTGATAGACCCAGAGCTTGACAACACTTACAAGAATTGAGGGATGAAAACTGACAAACAGTTCTGATCTTCTCTCCACATATCGAACAAAACGTACCCCAATAACCAAAACCCATTACACACCTCGAAACCTGTGTATGGTAGCTGGAACTTTTATTCCTCCGGGCAAATCTGGCAATACAACATGAAACAAGCTTCTTTCGCAAGATCATAATCACAACATCAATTCATCATCGTCCTTTGAGTTTTCGGAGATGTACTGTATCTCTTTAATCCTAATATTTCCATATCTCTTTTCGTCTTTGCATCTCTCCTTTTGCTCATTCCTCAGTCCTCACCCCTCTCCTCACATTCAATGAAGAAGAAGATGCTCATGTGCAATAACTTCCCGACCCGATATCTCTGAACCATTCAATCATCTGAAAAATGAGACGAACAACTGATACGAGTATGACATTTACCATCCTTTATGTTCATTTCCCTTCATTCCAAACCCCTACTTATTATTGACGTTCCACACCCTTCATTCTCCGCTCGTCTGTACGGTCAGTTCTTTGTTCTCGAGTTGAGGTGGTTGATAGACTTTCATTCTTGATTTCTTTCTCGTACTTTCTTCAATCAGTGTTCACCTACTTTCACCTCTTACTCAATTCACCCTTGACATTCTAACTTTTCTGATAATCAAAAACTTGATAATAGAGAAAACGATCGTAAAAGAAAAAAACTCTCAAGATGTCTGGATCTGTCACACCTACTGAGATTACGACAAAAGGACAACGTATCAGCGTGTGAGTTATTTTCCCATTTTTACCCTTCTGACACTCTTGTCATCTTACTACAGTAATCCCACTTGGACTAGAAACGAACACTCTTCATCTTTCATCCTTCTGCTCACATGTTTCTCGTTCACTCCCTATGAGCGTTGTCGTTTCACCAGAGTCGACGTCCGAGTATTTCGGGATTGAGTATATCCCAATTAGATGTCAGTTAGGAAGAGTGATTTTATGTTAGTGATGATAGATGGGAGAAGAAGGAGAAAGAAAAGAGGAAAAAAGAAGAATAGAAGGAAAGAGAACAACAAAGAAACTGATAGTACTTAGTGTATCTCCTCCACCTGTTTACATACATACTCCACCACCAGCAACGAAACAAATGATAACTTCGTCTCCTACTAATACTATATCCATGGAGAATCCGGGTGAAGGAAGTATATCTGGAGGAAGCTCAACTACCGCCGTTGATCAAATCCCTGGTCAAAGAGAGTATGTCTCTTCTCCTTGTTTTTTTCTTCATATCATATCATATTCCAAATAAAAACACGACTATGGGTTGTGTTTTTCCCTCTACACATTAATTTTCGTACTCCTCTTACTTGTTTAATCTCAAGAGTTGGGGGGGAAATTATGTTCCTCTTGCTCTTTTCTGTCTCCCTTGTGATAAAACTAATTTCACACCCTCATTCATCTTCTTATTCCTATTTTGATTCGTATTCAATTATTTTTCTCACTTACCATTTCACACTTACTCTGTTCATTTATACTCTTGACTTGTCCGTTCCACTCTTCCATGATGAGTTCAAGAACGAGCAGAAGAATCTCAGTGAGAAGAGAGAAACTGATCATCAGTGATCTGGCTAAACCTTTAAATCAAACATATCAAGATTGGTACCCTGGTGATGCTTCACATGAAGGTAAACCAGCATGGTGGAATAAATTGTTTTGTTGTGGTTATGGATTAGGTTGTTTGTTATGTCCTTGTGGAAGTTGTAATTGTAAATAGGAGAGAGGAAAGTGATTTTTCTCTCTTTTTCTACCTTACTTACCTTTATTCTTTCTTACTTTTCTTACTCTTTTAACTCTTTCATCATCTATATATCTTCAACTTCACAACATATACTTCTACATTTCTACATCATTACATTATCTCATTCTTCACACTTCACATGATCTACGACCTACGATACATACTCTTCACTCTTCACTCTTCACTCTTCACACTTCATTTTTCACTCTTCACTCCTCACTCCTCACTCTTCACTTCATTTTTCACTTCTCACTTCATTTTTCACTGAGATATAGGTCGGACATTTACGAAGAAGGTCAACTGTCACGTTGGACAGAGGAGTTTGAGACTGTTCTCGTATGGCATGAAAGTGGGTGGTCAGTGTGGTAAAGTGTTCATATGGGTTGCTCGTAGTGCATGTAATCAGATGTGCATATCGTCTAACGATATCAAACATGACATCATGATCTATGATCAGATACTACTTCTCCGTCCCAAAGTCGACTCGGATGATGAATAAGAAATGGATTTTTGATCAAGATGGAACACCAATACCCCAACCATGAACCTCTTCCCCGTTTACCCATAATCGATGTCCCTTTTTACCATCCCTTCCATTCCTTTCATCCCCTTGCTCCCCACTCATCGGGGCTACCTTATCACCCATCTTTACTTTTCCCGTGTTCCTCTTCCATTCTCTATCCTTTTCTGACGTACTCGTCGATAGAGTTTGGTTGCTAGAGACAAGGATCACCGAGTTCGCTTCTTTGTCGTGGGGATTTGTCGTACTTGCAGATATGTCAGATGTCGGGAGGGAAGCTTCGTATGTATGAAAAGCCAATTTAGTCTTTCTCATCATTCTCTCCCTCTTCTTCCTCCTTACAGGTCCATCGAAAGTTTTTCTCTCCGACTGTGCTTCTTCTCGTATTCCAATAGCAGAGATAGGAGCCGCAGGAACGGTTGAGCCCATTGAGACGATCGAAGTGGATGTATTGGCGAGTGTTGAGATTGATGTTGTTCCAGTAATGTTGTGCAGATCGGCGGACGAAGGGACGGGGGGTATGGAGAGTGGGAGAAGGATAGGAGGAGAAGGTATGGACCGTTGTGTAGAGCAAAAGAGACAAGTGTGGGTGGTACGTGTAATATGAGTTTTGTTTGCTATTTGGTCAATCCCCAATTCCCATGTGTCACTTGAATATCGAAGTAAAACAGCACCTAAGACCATCAAGAAAAGATCATTCGACCATGTCGTCAAGGACCAGAAAAAGGATGGGGAGGTGGTACATTCGTAGTAGCAATTTTGAAGACTGTGACGAGACGTAAGGTGATGTCAGATGAGAGGAAATGTGATATAGGGACGGTGAGAATGGTCGAAGAGGATGACAAGCATTTAATATAAGATAAAAGGGTAGAGTGTAGACTGCGGGGAGCGATGAATTGAACACTCAGGATTCTATAGTAGAAATACAGAGATATCACTCGGAAGGAGAAAGGGTAGTTTTGAGATGACTCACGTCTATTCCTAACTTTGAGAGTTAAACCAGGAATCAAAACTGTCCCACATTGTTTACAAATATTCCGTTTCAACCCCGGATCTCTAACTATCAATCTCAAACCCATTATGAATCCTCTGAAAAGATATCTGTGTCTCGATATTTATTACGGAATACGATAAAAAAAAAGTCGTCAATGTTTCCCAGAACCAGAAAAGTTAAGGTATATTTGGAATTGATGATCAAGGGATATGAAAGAGAGTTTTTAAAGACATTTAAAATGTTCAGTTTGAGATACCAGGAATGATAGACATCTTTTGGGAGTGGGAGGGTTGTATGAAAAGCAATGAAACAAAAAGAGAAAGAACACTTACAATTTCATTTGACCATGTTTTACCATAATCTTACCTTGTTTCATTGCTTCTCTACCTAATTGAGCCAAGACATATTCTACTTTTCCATATTCTGTATTACTTCGTTTCCTATAAATCTCATCACTTGAATTTTTTCCAGCTCCATCATATCTCGAACTTTCTGAAATATTGCTCCGTTTTCTCCTCTCATCAGCTATTCGTCCTTGTTCCACTTCGGTACTCTTCGTATGTTTCCTAGAATCTGGACTTGGCCGAGAAACATTCTTCACATCTTTATGAATATTTCTACTCTCCTCAAGCCATTGCTTCAACTCTCTCCCAGAGTCAGACCTCCCGGAAACATCCTTCGTACATGAAGACCTCGGACTTTTACGTTCGGACTCAACACTATCTGACTCTGTCGCATGTCCCACTTTTCCCTTCGGGATTGAAGTTGAAGATCTTGAGTATTTGTCGGCGGGTACTTGTGGGAGACTGGATGGGACGGTTGAGGAAGAGTAGATAGAAGTAGCTTGGAGGTATAAAGAAGCTTGAAGAGTGAAAGTCAATCGATCGTAAGAATCTTTTTGAGGGATAGGTGGTATACGTGGTTTAACGTTGGATTCGATATGTTTAGGTTTTTTCATATTGACTCGTCGGTTATTCTTCCTTTCCATGAAGAAGTCAAACTAAGACTTGGAATGTAGATCCAACGATATGTGTGAGAAAGAGGGGTAATAGGGAAAGGTCAGTAAAGATGAGAAAGATGAGGAAAAGTTAAAGTTGAAGTGGAGAATGTTTGAAAGGAACGTTTGAAATGACCAGTCAAAAGTCAAGTAATGATGTGACAAAGTTGGAAAAGTCTGTCATTCGTTCTCTTCATACATCGTAGAGGACATGATTGACGTGGGAGAGTAGTATGGAAAAAAGGTATAATAGTAGATCCCCGATTCATGCATTCACACCTTATACAACCTTTTGTACAACTCTCTACGTACCTATACACCCTTCACATGACCATCGACCCCTCCCCCGTCCATTTATTCACAGATCACCTTTCATCCGTCCATCGTCTCAAATCCACAACGAGCAAGATCCACCGTTCATAGTATGTTTCATCCAGATACACACAGATCATAGGAACTATCGCTCAGCGTAATTCCACAGCACTACGACTTCGATTTGGTACATGAGTCAAATACAACTCTTGGAAAGGTTCTTGATTGAGGGAATGAAAGTAGTACTGCAAGTCAGCACCTATTCACACTCATCATCGATCGACAAAAACGGGTTAAATCTCAGCCATGAGTCAAAGGAATGGACGAGGGTGGAACAATGAAGTGTCATGATAAAGAGAGAGATATGAGGGGGTCTTGAAAGATACTCACCCCCCGTAAGGTAGCCTCTCCCCTAGGCGTCATAGCAGCTATTTTCCCAGAGCTCTCTCTTCGTCTTCGTGGTACATCCCCAACACTCGATGACCTACTATCTAAATTCCCCGCTGAAGCTCGGCGAGCCATTGGACTTGTGGGTGATAGAGGTGAGACTGGCGGTCGATTACCGGGGACCACAACGCTGGCGGAAGCAGGGATGGGGGAAGGGGGACAGAGTTGAGTTTCTTGGCCTAACGTGGGAGAAAGATCAACCATTGCGAAGTAAAAGCCTGCTCATCAGTATACTATTTTTCGTAGTATCATTACGAACGACAACGTGATTCAGTGATACGATGATATAGCGGTAATGGGAGAGAGCAGCTACTCACCAGCAAAACTTGCACCAGAGATATCTTTGACAGTATGATCCGGTACTAAAAACCTTTCCTTAATCCTTAAAAAAACAAAATCCCTTTCTTTAGCTGTACTCTCCCCCCTACTTCTATCCGGTATCGGATCCCTGAATAACATCTCCGATCTCACTATATCCGCCTTCGTAGCTGGTCTTCTAAATTGCTCAAACCTACCCCAATGTCTCATATCATCATGTTCCGTAGCACCGTATCTCGTACCGGTAATGAAACCGAATTGTGGTCCGATGATTTCAGCCGTGAAAAATGTGGTGAGTTGAGGATGAGCGTCGGTCAGATGAGAAATGGAAAGAAAACCTGATAATGTCGATTCGGTAAAGTTTACATCTAGAAGCTTTACTTCGACGTCATACGCCGATCTTCCGGAAGTTTGGGTGCCACGGAAGATGGAGCCGGGATGAAGGGCGCCTCTGCCTATAGAAGGGATACGTGTGGATGTGATATCGAGAAGAGGGTCGGGTAGTTTGTTTTGAGAGCTGTGTCCCAAGTTGTCTTCACTGAGAAGACGAGGGAGTTGGGTCGGGTTGGGAGGGTGATTGATATGTTTGGACGGAATGATGGTGTCGTGTGTGGGCGCGGACGTGGGTCCAGACGCAACACTTGAGGCGGCATTGACAGGGAAAGAATTGTGAGGAGAGATGGATGTTTGTGGGGAGGCGACATGATGTGGAGTCTGTGGATGGTTTGAAGTCACCCATGCTTGTATCGGTTGAGTGGGGAGTGATTGAGGTTGTAATGATTGATGTGATGGATTGAGTGGAAGAATGACATTATTGACGATTCTCGTGTTTGAATCTTGTGAAGAGGGCAGAAAGTCCTGATGATTCTCCTCCAAACTCGCCTCTCTACCCCCAGCATCGTCCACTCTGAGGGTTGAGATGTGCTGTTCTAAATCCACATTGACGGAGGTACGATGATCAACCTCCACATAATCTTGTCGTTGCGAGTCGACACGGAGTTGTGTCGCTCGAGTACATCCACCACATATCCGTTCGATAGGGTCGGATAAGACGACTACATCGTTGGTAGGATTGCGAGAAGGAGAAGCTAGTGAACCAGTACCGCAGATTGTACATTTGATGATGTTACCTTGAGAAGATGGAGGTTGTTGGGGTGGGACTGGTGGGGTTGATTCGGTGGGCATGTTATGGGTAGTGTCTTTTATATCGCCCAGTACGATGATCCACCTTCTCCCCTTATCCCACACAGACCAGGATACGTATGACTAGAAAGGGTTATGATCAAGGGGGTTGTGATAGAAGGCGAGATTGGTTGTATGGGAGATAGAGTAGAGTAGAGTAAGATACCTTTGAATGTGGGTGAGAAAGCGACGAGTGGCGTCGGTGATAGTCGCAACTACCGGGTGTATGTTTACGTAATATTCATCGGATCAACCGGTACCTAAAAGTTGACTCAAAAAAAAGAACAGAGCGGATTTTCCAATCTTTCACTCTTTCATCTTTCAACCCTACTCGTACAGTATACCCAGTCATACATATACAACACCTCATCCTCTCATACATATCCAACCATGTGTGGGATATTCTGTTGTTATAACCATCAAGGTGATCTGGCTTCTTTTCGTCCTAGAGCCATCGCTTTGTCAAAGAAACAACGTCATAGGGGTCCGGATTGGTCGGGATGTTACATGGCAAAAGATAGTATAATGGTACATGAACGTTTGGCCATTGTCGGTGTTGGTGAGTTTCCTTCTTGCTTCTTCAGTGTTTTAAGAATGAGTTGTATAAATCATGTGTTGTAAGTCAAGGCTGGACGCATGGGCCTCATTCCTATCAGGGGGTGATGATTTGCTTGGTAACCGAGGGAGAGCAGGATAGTGCAAGTTTTGTCAATGAGATGCGCGATGGATATAGAGAGAAGATGCTAATCATCAGATACCGGTGCTCAACCTTTGGTCAACGAAGATGAAACTATCATCCTTGCTGTCAATGGGGAGATTTACAATCATTTGGCATTGAGGAAAAGTCTCAAACAACCAGCTACATTCAAGACGCATTCGGATTGCGAGGTCATCATGCACTTGGTGGGTTGTTGTGAACTCTTCTTATCACAATCCGGGCTATCTTTGTCTCGTTTATGTTCACAATTCGGACTTTCTTCGTCTCGTTTGTGTCTCTGCTGGAGGGCTCTTCTCACCCTTCCTGATTGCTCTACCCCATGCTGCCTGGCCAATCAAGTCTGAGTCTTGTACATTGGTGAACACGTCGAGTTAAAAGAGATGGACACGCCAAGTCAAAAAGGGTTGAAAAGTTGAAAGATCCACTGACTTTCAGTACAAAGAACACGGTCCCGAACTTTGCAACATGCTGGATGGAATGTTTTCCTTCGTCCTACTCGACACTTCCGTAACTCCCTCTCGTCTCATAGCCGCACGTGATCCGATCGGTATCACAACCCTTTACATGGGATATCATTCTTCTCAACCTGAAACTCTCTTCTTCTCTTCCGAACTGAAAACCTTGGATGAAGATTGTGATAATTTGATTTCTTTTCCACCTGGACATTATTACGATTCCCTAACTAAAAAAACCGTACGATATTTCCATCCAACATGGTGGGATACAGATAAAGGTATAATACCTCATAATCCAGTGGATTATAAACTACTTCGTGAAACATTAGAAGCGGCCGTACGTAAACGTTTAATGTCAGAAGTACCTTATGGTGTACTTCTTTCAGGTGGATTAGATAGTAGTTTGATAGCTTCTATAGCTGCAAGAGAAACGGATAAATTAGCAGAACAACAAGATGTTTTAAGGAAAGAAAGGAAATTAGCTTTATCAGAAGGAAGAGAAGTTAATGAAGAAATCACTTTAGCAAGTTGGCCAAGATTACATTCTTTCGCTATCGGTTTACCCGGTGCACCAGATTTGATAGCTGCTCAAAAAGCCGCGGATTGGTTGGGAACCGTACATCATACTTATAACTTTACGGTTCAAGAAGGATTGGATGCTATTCCGGAAGTTATTTGGCATTTGGAAACTTATGATGTGACTACGGTTAGAGCTAGTACTCCTATGTATTTGTTGAGTAGGAAGATCAAAGCTATGGGTGTCAAGATGGTTTTGTCTGGTGAAGGTAGTGATGAGATCTTTGGGGGTGGGTCGATTGTTTTTCTTATTTCCCCGCAGGCTATTCTTTCTCTTTATCCATCCCTCCTCCCCCTTCTTCCTTCTCCCTTCTCCCTTCTCCCTTCCCCTTCTCCCTTTCCCTTCTCTTCTTTCCTCTCTTCTGCCCTTTCCTTCCTTCTCTAACTTCCATGCTATATATATCATCACCAACAGATCAATTTTCACTTTCCTACGAATAACTCTTCCAGCAAGTGAATGCATCAAACATCTCAGAACTAACTCCCCAGGCTATCTATACTTTCACGCAGCTCCTAGCGCAAAAGATTTCCACGAAGAATGTGTTAAAAGAGTTAAAAACCTTCATACAGCCGATTGTCTACGTGCCAATAAATCAACAATGGCATGGGGTTTAGAAGCACGTGTACCATTCCTCGATAAATCTTTTTTAGAAGTATCAATGAACATTGAACCTGAATCAAAAATGTTTTCAAAAGGTAAAACTCAAAAGATCGATTCTGAAGGAAGACCTAAAATGGAGAAATATATATTAAGAAAAGCATTCGATTGTTCACCTGATGGTAAAGCTTATTTACCCGATTCGATCTTATGGAGACAAAAAGAACAATTTTCAGATGGAGTAGGATACGCTTGGATCGACGGGATGAAAGAATATTCTGAAAAAATCATATCGGATGAAAAGTTTTCAAAAAGGAAAGAAAGATGGGAAATTGATACTCCTGATACAAAAGAAGCTTATTGGATTAGAGAAATGTTTGAAGGACATTTCCCAAGTAAAGCTGCTGCTAGTACGGCTGTTAGATGGATACCTAAACAAGAATGGGGGGTTTCGAGTGATCCTTCGGGTAGATCGGTCAGTATACATACTGCTGCTTATGAGACGGATGGGGTGTGATATAGACATTTCATACCCTCTATCTTCCTACATTTTTCGGAATAGAGTAGATGAGGATCACATCTGGGAAAAAGGATTTAGTTGGACGTTGGAGCTAGAAGAGGAATGGAGGTTGAAAGATGGAGAGAAATAAATAGATTTACAAAATATCATCATGCATATCTTTTGAATTCAATATACTACATTCGGTTTCGTCATGTATCTCCAAAGATCCAATGGGAGAGGGGGGGGGGGGGGTTGAACGAAATGTTAGAAGAGATATTCATGTTGAAATGAAAGGTTCAAGGGGTTACGGTTCGAAGTTTAGTCAAATACCTCCCTGATGTGTCAATGTTATTCTGCCATGAGGTGGAACCACAATGCTTGGTGATCTTCGAGGCACAATCAGACATTTCATGTTCGAGCTAATGAGAAGAGGGATGTGAGAAAGGATGTGAAACGCTCGAGTAATAAGAGTACACTCACATGGCACCATATTCGAAAACTCTAAATTTATTTTCATCGTATAAATGTTCGTTATACCCCACACTATATATCAGCTCGTCCTCTTTCACTTCCTCCTGCACATTTATCCCTCGACAGTAATGGATATTACCAGAATAGATGGTGATTGAACAACGACAGGATGGGTGCAGATAAGAACGACGATAGAAAGAATGCGAAGTCAGATCGAACGGCGACAATATAGATAGGAATGTGAGGAGTGATAAGGGTTAGGTGAATTTGGTAAGATGAACAGGTTGTTGGAAATGTTTAAACATTTCACAAGTAAATGTTACCGAACACCGAGTGGTTGGAATTTTTGTGAGTTGATGAGGTAGAGGTTGATCACTCACATTCCTCTCCAATCAAGTCCCATTTCAGCTTGTACTATACCTGCATCTTGCCAAGATTTCATCTCTCCATCGGGGATACCTTTGAAAAGGATCTTGAACATCAACTTTCACCCGTAGAATTTCATACCTTTCTAATCAAGAGAGTTGTGGGTGGTATTCGTGTGTAAGTAGGGAAGGTAGGTAGGTAGGTAGGTAGGTAAGGAGACACTCACAAAGATTCTAATCAAAACATCAGGAGGTGGAATGATATTAAGTTGTGAACTGGGTGACATTGCGTCGTTACCTAAAATCTTGTATGCCTATATCATTCAATCTTTGCACCTTTCATATCTTACACGTCATTCCCTACTGGTTTCTCAGAACCACATTCTAAAAAAGGGTACTTAATTGACCGAGTGTTGAGGGTCATGAAAAGGTTCTGACTCCAATTGACAACATCTCAGAATAGATAAGACATGTGACGATGACGTAGATTAAGAAAAGGAAGGATGTAAAACTTACTATGTTCTTATGCCTGGTAATACCCGGTAACCAAGAAATGATCATAGCTGTCCTACTTTCCACTGGTAATCCTAATGACTGAAGGACTCGGTCAATGTGGGGAATGAAAAGTGTTTGAGGTAGACACCATGCTGTTTGTGGACGGATATCTGGCCAAGCTGTATTCATCAATACGAGTCTAAAGGTAGATATTGAAATGGAGATGGAGATGAAAGTGGAAGTGAAAATAGAATCAGAGATAGAAACGGTAATGGAGATGTGAGTATAAGTGGGTGTGGGAGTGGAAATGGCGATGGAAACGGAAATAACTGACATGGGATGAGTGGAGCATCAATCGCTGGAGTTGAAGTTGGTCGAGGTTTCGATACTGGTCTACATGTCAATAAGAATGACCTCTTGCCATTTCACATTTCAGAGTGATTTTGCCCAACCACTCATTTACGGATCCATACGCACATGGACTAATCTTATAATTACCATCCGAGTAGTTCCGATTGTGCAGGAGGTGCGGAAGTCCAGGGTAGGAAGCAGGCAGGGACGAGAGACGAAGCTGAAAGCACAAGAAGCCAAATGTATGAAGGGATAACACTTGGAATTGATGATGTGACCCAAAAGATACGTAATGAGCACAAAATTAACTCACAACATCTCCACAAACAATCCACTAGTTTCCGTCCCAGTCAATAAATCTTCGACCGTACCATTCCCCTTAACTTTCAAAAACCATCTTAAACGTTGTCTCGGTCCATCAGGTTGTAAACTCGTCATAGGGTATGCAGAAACGATTTGCCAATCTTGTACAGATAAAGAAACTTCGAGCTGTTGAAGACGTATCAGCTCTGATAGTTGTGTGGGCCAGAGAGGATGACCGAGAAGACGAAGACGTGTACGAAAGGTTACACGTACGGATTTTTCTTCTGGATAAAGTAGATCGATTTGGGGACGTAGAGATCTAGGACGGAATAGGAGTCGGGCGGTGTTTTTGTCATGGACAACGTCTGTTATCAGTTGATAGGAATACAATCAGACAAGGCGTACAGAGCAGAGATGACGCCGAGTAGTTCCGTGGAGATTAGAATGGGCATGATACATAATGATTAGAGGGCTGTCAATATGACGTGGACTGGTCCTGCAGAGAAGAGTGGAAGAAGGGTCACAATGGGATACACGAGTATAAGGAACGTGAGCGAGCTGGTCCGAAAATGTTGAGGGATAAAGTGAAGAGGAAGAACAATGAGAATACGGACATTTCGTTAACACCTCATTCGGTCCTAACTGTCTTCCAACGAATTGCTGGTTGAAAGTTTTCTCCTACTGGTCAGTTTTTTCACGTTCAACAACACAACCAGCATACCTCCACAGTCAATGTTCCCAGGTAATCTGACAGTCAGCTGAAAGCAATGCAAATAACCCGAACTGACCTCCTGGTGGTAGACCCTTGCTCAATTCTCTATCACCATCAGACCGATCATACTGGCAAGGGGGATGTGACATACCCTGATAAAGAAGCGAGGAGGGTGGCTCCTTTTCCAGCGGTAGTTTCGACCGACATGGACACGTCGGCCGTTTGTCCGGCTACATGTGAGCATGTAGTCTTGTCAAGTCTCTCTCTTAGAAGTAGCCCTTAAGATGGATAAGAAGAGCAGTAAAGGATTAGCCGTCCATGTCAAATGGCGGACAGAGGTTGCAATGGCCAGAAAGAGGACAGAGATGAAGTGCACCTCTAGTGAGAACTGTGAACGCCAAAGTGGGATTGAGAACCAGAGCAATGGTCAGATATGGCAATGGAACATAGAGACCGCGACGAAATGAATAACGTTCACTTACATGGTTTCGCACCCCCTCCTCCACCTTCTTTATCTTTATCTTTCTTCTCCCCTGATCCAGAAGCAGGAGCAGGAGGAGCCGCTGCCACAGTCGCACCGCCTTTGTTCTGATCGCCACCTTTTCCGACCTAAAGTTAAGTCGTCGTATACCAAGATTGAGAAGGGACCCACCTGCATTTCAGCGACCGTCTCTTTCTCCACTCGTTATACTCCTTTTCCAATTGCCTATTTCTCTTGAACCATCTCACACCTGATCTACTCCATGTCCACCGGTGATGAAAGCTATCCCACACCGCCTGCATATTTCCATACGCTAGAACACCCCTTGCTCGCGTTTCCACAGAGCGGACCTACTTATAGAATGAGGGAGGGTCTCGGGTCGATGTAGTCATGTGGGGCGTGAAGGACTACCGACGTCCTTGAGCGAAAAGGATACATACGTTTTTATCAAACACCACGACTCCTAGTCTGACTACAGCTTTGCCCGCGCATGCATAGTGGAAAGAATCGTTGTCGGCGCTGAAGTCAGTGTTTTTGACCTGTACTCTGCCCGCCCAGAGATGGACTTATGTATTTCACACGGATTGCAATGTCGCAGTGGCCGGTCATTTGAAAGAAACATGATGAGGCACCAGAGACTTTTCGGGAGAATGGACGAGACGGCTCAGAGTGGTTCGTAAGGAGCGATGAGGAGTAATGGGGGTTTGGAGTAGAGATAGACGTAAAGGAAAGAGGGATTTGGTCATGAGGAGAGAGCATTCAAGTTGAAAAGAAGAGAGAAAGATGAACTAACATAAAAACCTCTTCAGTACCCAAAGCAGGTCCTATCCACGGTATCTCACTAGCCTTACAAGTAAGACGTAAATCATGTGTGTTTTTATTAACACCTAGTTTTTCGTATGCGGCCGCTAAGGCTTTCTGGGAGGGTAAGCGATACTTCCACATTTATCCCCTCCGTCAGTCATATCGCATGTATGATCGAATGATGATGTCTTCTCCATATTCACTGTAGAAGAGAGAAGCCCTCCTAGTCCAACGACTGCTAAGATACGAGGTTGCTTTTCAAAATTTGTGAGATTCGGAATCTCGTAAGCCAGCTATGTCGACCGAATCGCATTTTCGATTCAAGCAACGCTTCCAATGAGGAAGAGAAGGACAAGTGAGATGGATGTAGAAGATGAAAGGAGTAGAGAATAAAGCACTCACGTCATAAGATGGAGGAAGCAATAATAAAGCTTCTGTACCTCCTCCTGAGAGGATCAACATTCTAGGAGGACCAGAATTTGCCATTTCGTCAATTTCCGTTTCAGTTTCTGTACTATTACTATTACTTCTTCTAGTTCCTGTAGTTCCAGACAGTCCGGTAGTTCCAGTTGTTCTTGAACTTTCAGTAGATCTACTAATATCAGTAGAAAAAGTTGTTCTACTTTCACTTCTTGTATTTCTTGCCAAAAAATTTGATAAAAAACCTTCTTCTTTTCTTATACCTTCTTTATTCTTTATTGAATTTTCTTCTTTTTTCAAAATACCAGTAGATTTCACAAAAGGATAACCTTCTTCTTCTCTTCTACCAATAATAGATTGACGTGATTCTTCTTTTCTAGTTCGATTAGGAATATCTTTCCAATTCAATCGACCAGAGTTTATTTCTTCTCTCCGATTTACACGAAAAGGTAAATTTGGGAAAGTAGGATGTGGAAGTGGAGGTGTATCTTTATGTGTATTAGGACCTGATAATGTTCTTAATCTAGTACTTAAAGGAAGACGATTCGATCTTTCTGGATTGGGGTAAACTTGTGGTGTTAATGGTTGTGTGTGAGTAGGAGGACTAGGAAATGGATATTGTTGAGAAGGGATAAAAGGATATTGTTGAGTTGGGAATGGAAAAGATGTAGGAGGATATTGATGAGAAGGTGAAGAAGGGTTCGTATATGGATAAGAACCTGGGAATGGGAATTGGTTTGATGGAGGATGAATAGGTGAAGTGAGTGGGAAAGAAGGTGTTGGTTGAGTTGTGAGAGGTTTAGGTGGTGGTGTTAAATGTCGTTTTTGATTGTGATTGTGATTGTGATGTTTAGATTTAGATTGTGTATTTGTTTCCTGCGTATATTGATTAGAGATATACGGTGTGAAAGGGTATGAAGGTGTAGTATGTGTGAAAAGTGGTAAAACTGTTTGGGTTGTTGTTGTTGAATCTTTGACCAAAAGTTGAGCTTGAGCTTGAGCTTGAGAAAAAGCTCTAGGTCGAGATTCACCAGATCTTCCAGATTTGTCGGGGTCAGTTGAATGTTTTCGATCTTCTACTTTGATAAAAAGTGGTGATTGAGTAGAAGGTATCTTTAGATCTTGATCGCGAGTACGAGTATCACGAGATACTGATTCTTGTTGTATCTTCGAATTCCCAGTGTCAACTTTAAGTTTGTGTTCTTTACTCGTACCAGATTGATGAGTGTTGAGTGGTAAAGAATTAAACCTAGGTAAGACCTTTTCCTTCGTTGGAAGTTTAGACGAGTCCTTGTTTTTCTCCTTGGGTATGAAAGATGTGGTAGGGTTGGAATGAGAAGAGAGAGTATGATCCGTTTCGGTATAAGGAGGTGGTGGTGTAGAAGGTTTTATAGTTATTTCTTTATCTTTATCTTTTTTATCAACTTTTGATACTATTACCACTTGATGATCTTTATCTTTATCCGATTTGTCTATCGCTACTTTGTCCTTGTTGTTACGTTTATCAACTTGATCCGTCTTGTTCGTCTTGTCCGTCTTGTCCGTCTTGTCCAATTTGTCGATACCTACGACCCTCGTGTTATTGTTCACAAATATGATATCCTCTTTTTTGTCCGTATTGCTTATATTCACCTCACTCGTCTTCCCCTTAACTATCTCTTTCGTTATGTCCGTCTTGTTGATCTTACTTTGTATTCGAGATTGATGATGGACACAAAGTCCCTTGGAACTTGTAGACGAAGGGGGATTTGACAACTTGGGACGGGACGACTTTGAAATTCCTAGAGTAGATTCTTGTAGAATCTGTATTGACTGATGTTGAGTTTCGAAAAGTCAAACAGACCAAGTTCTTGTGGTTGTAATGAGTAGACGATTAGGAGAGTAGAAGAGTGGAAGAGTAGAAGGGTGGAAAGATCAGTGGCGAGTTAAGAAGAAAGTTATTATATGTATCTCTTCCACCTCTACATGAGGCTTACCATGCGTCTTTGCCTCATGTTCTCGTCTACAGGGTGGGGATGGGTGTTATGTGTGATGGATGATCCATGATCCACGTTGTTACCTCGTGTTTTATTCCTTGTCATTGAATCATATCTTGTCGTATGTCGTATGGTTGACATGATTCCACATAGCCCGAGATCCAGTGGGCCAGTGTGGAGATCAAAGACTGTAACCACAACCAACGACCCATAATCCAGAAGGGATGTGAATGAATGATTCAGTGTATGATACGAACCGGTGTACCGGTGTGAGACATATGGAATGTCGTCATTGATCATTGATCATTGATCATTGAGTAGAGGCAACCGGCAACGATGGAGGGAAGAAATTCTCGGAAACTGACAAACGACCGAATCGGAATAAGGTTCAAAATAGAACTTCGACCACATCTGGAATACTCAAGGTGAGTAAAGTTGAAAAAATGACATGTATTCATCATCCCATATCCCATATCCCATTGATAAAGTCAAAAAATATCACTACATTCTCATACTGTTCAAATTCAACTTATACCCCTCTTGGAATCAAATCAATCCTCATCTTACCTTTCTCACATGATGACAACCTGATAGCCCTACGCCAAAACCGCCTTATTCTCACCTTGTCTATCCTTCTCTTTCCCTTCCTCTTGATTATCTTCATGTCCATGTCCGTATCCATATCCACCTTGAAATTCTTGAGTACCCGTAGCTGGTCTAGATCTAGGAGCTTGTTGTGGTGAACCTAACAAAGCTGAAATAGCTAAAGATGATCTTCTCTCTGAAGCTGGTGGTAACCAAAGAGGTTCTTGTCGATTTGACATTGCTTCGTTTAGATGTTGAGGTATATTTCCTTGTTGTTGTTGTTGATGTTGGTGTTGGACAATACCATTACCGTTACTGTTCCTAGGTTGTTTCCTTGAATTTTCCGATGGATTTTCATTACGACGTTTACGTGAATATTGTTGATGATGTATTTCCGAATTTGGAATTTCACTAGGAGTTTGTAGTTCATGTGAATTCGAAGGATGTATAGGGGTTTGTTGAGGATGGGGATGGGGATGTGGATGTGGATGAGGATGTTGTTGTTGTTGATCTGAATGAAGATGTGATTGTGATGGTGGTGGTGGAGGTGGAGGAGGATAAGAAGTATTATATTGAAATGGTGAATCATGATATCCACCTGTATAACCCGGTGGTGGTGGTGGATAATATGATTGTGGTGGATATGTATATCCTGACGGAGGAGGATAATGTTCAGGTGGATATTGATATCCTTCTTGTGGATAAACTTCATGAGGTGGATAATTCGAATGAGTTGGTGAAGACCAATTCGGATTTGAACTTTGATTATTACTCTGTACGTTTGAAGGATATAATGGAGATTGAGGTGGTGGTGGTGGTGGTGGTGGACCATGAGCGGTAGAAGGTGGTTCTGAATCTGTATAATGTGATGGTACTGGTAATTCTCTACCGTTTGATGACATTGGTCTATAAGGATATGGTAATTGTGAAATTGAATCAGTTGAAGATGCTGTTCCTGGTGCGGTAGGTGGTCTAGGTTCGTAATATCCATAAGGTGGATATCTACGACTTGGACCAGAAGGATCTTCTCCAACTACATTTTCAACATTTGGAGGTGGAGGTGGAGGATAATATTCGTAATTACTACCAACCCCACTTCCACTTGTACGTGGTCTAGATCCAGGATGAGGATGAGGATGTGAATGAGGAGGTGGAGGTATCGTCCAATTCGTTTCTTGATATGGAGGATATGAAGTGTTTTGTTGAGTTGGAGAAGTTTTAACTCGAATTTCGTTATGTCTAGGACGTTCGATTGCGTTTTTAGGAACTTCTACCACTTCACCTCTTCTTCGTTGTTCTTTGTTCGCACGTTGTGATAAAGCTGCGTGAACGGGAGCGAGAGAATTTAACATAGCTTCGTTGAGTTGTTGTTGATCCGCATGAACAGTGGCAGCATGTTGACGAAGATTATCCAATCTAGAAAAAGCTTTCCCGCAATGACATGGGAAAGGTCTTTCTCCTGTATGTTTTCTTACCTCGTCAGCTACATCCGCTCGAACAAAATAGATAGCCAAAGGACAGCGATTGACAAAAGGTCATAACAAGACAATGGGGAAATAGTCACGGAGGAACGAGTGTCATAATGATAGAAGGCGAAGCCTGAAGAATGATAAGGAGGAAGGACAGGGAGAAGCAAGAAGTGGAGACTAAGAGTAGTAATAAGTGAAAGACCACAACGGGAAGAGAGTGAATAACCCTAACCCACCTGACATGTCGAGCCAAATGTTCACTCCTAGTAAACACTTTATCACAATCCCCATAACCCCTACAACGAAACATTTTACCACCACTTATACCTACAGGAACAACGACCTGACCTTCTTGTGTGAACCCTTGAGGAGGTACACGACCGCTACTAGTGGGTGGGGGAGAAGGTACGTGTTCCTGAGTTTGATTAGGAGTTTGTGATAATCCGTAATAAGTGGAAGGTTGAGGTGGATAATTACCACTGATAGGTGTGATAGGAGGTTGTGTTTGATTCACAGGGTTGGAACCAGGAGTAGGACCAGGACCAGAACTTTGATTCGTTTGTTGAGGAGGTGGATAACCGTGAGAAGAAGAAGGGGGTTGAGGAATATCATGTGAGAAAACATGAGGTGATTGTGGTAATGGTGCTCCTTTGGGGAAAGAACCAGATGAGTGGAGTCTTTCTGGTGATTGATCAGGTTGGGGTAGATTATGAGAGGAAGTAGGATTAACAGGTGTTGAAGTAGGGGTATCGTGTGAAGAACCAGGAGGATGGGGGTAATAAGGTGTAGCGTAAGATGTCATTTTTCTTTGTAAGGGGTATTTGGATTCCTTGAGAGTTTCTTTACAGAGGTTGCTGTGAGAGTTTCGAAAGTTGAGTTTTATGTGAAGATCGTCGTTTGATGTACCTTAGATATTGGTTTGACACTGATTACAAAGTATGATTTGTCTCGTGGGTCAAGGTGTTGAATGTAAAGGATGACAAAGCAGATGAAAGGGTATTACGTTTTCTTGTTTTCTTGAATGTGTGAGAATATGATGACACGGAAGGCTTGAGAGCTTGAGAAAGAAAAAGGGGGGAAGGGAGAAAGAAGAAGAGAGTTTGTTCAAGGTGTGATCTCCAAGGAGGCCAAGGAGTAAAGTGAGCCGAAGAAGACGGAATGACGTAGACGTTGAAAGAAAAGTTTAATGGAGCTCGTATGTTTTTTTTCTTCACTGTCGAATGAGTAAAGGGGGGAAAAGGGGGATAGTTGGACAAGAGGGGTGGGAAAAAGAAAGAGTAAGTTGAGGGTACAAAGGCAGTACGAATGTAATTGCCAGGGAGAGAGGTAATATGTTTTTTTCTCTTGAAGCTTGAAAACAGAGGGTGTATCAAGTCTGAATTCGTCAGCGTGGGAGAGGAGAGGTAACCAAGGGGAAGGGGGTGTAACCCCTTTGTTCTTTAGGTGAAAAGTGCTGTGTCAAGAGTGCGAAAAGAAGGATATATAGACTTTCTATTGTCTTCTCTCTCTGCTTTTATCTTTCTTTTCGAATCCGGCCGGGTCTTGAGAATGTTTTAAGAATGGAAAGACATTTCACACGGATATGATAGAAATATACGGTTGGACGGATCTAAAAATATTTAAAATTCAAAAAGGTGAAAGAAATGGAGATGATAAGATGAGTGAAGAGGGGAGATAAAGAGTGAGATTCCCTTTGAAATAGATGGGTCGTAAAGATCGACAAAAATCGACCAGGGGGAGGTGAACATGTTCCTTTGATCTTTGGTTTCGGGGTTGAAGGAGATTTTCAACGGTTCAGAGAGGCGGTGGTGGATGATCGGGGATTAGATGTTGAGCAAGGCAATGAAGAGGGGGTGAAATGAAATGAAAGATGAGCCGAGTTACTGGGTGAATTGAGTTGGGAATGTATGAGTGGGTAGGGGGTTGAGGGGGTTGAGGGGTTGAGGGAGATGGGGGTGAAGTCATAGGATCCGAAGATCAGGGGGAAGTCGAAGGAAACCCACAAGAACGGGTCAAAGGTGTTTGTTGATCATGTGGGGAAAAAGGAGAAATGGTACTTACTGATTTTGGTGATAATGAGTATCCGACCACGATTGAGTCCACATCTCTAGATCTCTTTGTTCGTCAGCGGATTTTCGCCCTGCTTGTCTCTGGATCTAGTTTCACATCTAGTCCATTGACCATGTACCATGGACCGACTGATCATCTCACGGT